GGCATTGAGAAAGCTAATATATTGATTTGTAGATCGCTGTAGTCAAAAAGCAAAAGTTAGAGAAAAACACCTGTGGACTAATGACTCAGCCAGGCCCCATGTAGGGCCTCCAAACTTCAATCTCCTAAGTGACCACCTATGCTAGGCTCTCCTGTCTCTTCTGTATTATCCCACAGATGCCAAGACCCTACTCTTAAATGGAAAGTCACCGCTGAGCCTCAGGAATCACTGCTATGTTCAGGTAGCTGTGCTCATTAGGAAATATGGTGTTTCAAATGTGTTTCTGGGCTGATTACCTAGGCACACATACCTGTGTGTGCTCTTGAAGGATCCCCTCATAGACATTTCTAGGACAACTCTACAAGCAAACTGTGGAGTTTCTGAGACATGCAGCTGTTAGTAATTCTGATCATCCAGGAGTCTTCCTCCCACTCACTACTTGCCGTCCTACTTGCTTTTATGTCCACTTTGTATGGGCTCCAAGCACATCAGTGTTGGTCATTGGCTTAAATCCCTGTCCTTCCCAGCACCTAGGAACTTGTCCCTTTCTGTTCTCCTTGGTTGGCCCATCAGAGACCTGACCCATCCACAGCCCCAGATGCAAACTACTCTCACCCTTTGGCCTGTTTTCACTGCTGCAATAGTTGCAATCCAGTGAGATTCTGTGTTACATGAAAACACACTGTACCGTAAATATAAAGTCCCAGTTCATTCCAGGGCCATTCTCACACTAGAACTTCCGTAGAAGGCCACAGAAGGAACCCTGGTCCCTTCCTGAACCTCTTGATAATGGCAATCCCCATTATCAAAGCCTCATATTACTTTGAGAAGAGGACTTTGAAACACCATCTTCACTGGTAGCAAGAACTCACACTTATTCTATACTTTTTCTAAAAGATAATTTGGTTGAGCCAGTAAACACAGTTCAAAGACACTGCCTTTGCTTAATTAAGGTGATCTACTTTCTAGGTATTTAAAGTCAACTATTTTTTAAACTCTCACGCTTTCAACAATTACAAAGTATTTTTAAACATTGAAAGCAGTGGTACTCCAAAGAGTGGTCCAGAACCCTTTCAGGTCCCCAGCTTAAAGCTACTTGCATAACATTCAAACATTACGTGCCCTTTTCAATATCAGTTCTGAAAATTTTCCAGAAGTTACATGATAGTACCACTTGAAGTGGGAGCAGATGTAATAATCCAGCCGATGTCAGTTAAGCCACACACAGATTTATAAAAACATCAAGTGTTGCCATCTTTGTGTTTAGACTTCGAAAGTAATTTCCATAAAATACCATTTAAGTGAGTATGTAAGGGGTTATTTTAAATGCATTTAAAATGAATAAAAAATTTAAATGACTCTTTATGTCAACATGCCAGCAACAGATATACCCTAAATAAACAAAAATCTTTTGGGGCTCCAGGAGTTTTCAGGAGTCTAGATTTGTCTGAATTGTTTTTTGCGATTAGTGGCAATTGGTCATGAAGAAGTGTTCCAAAGATGTGACCTGAAAAGGCTGCCCTTCAACGCACCCTTTTCATCCAGTCAGGACTCCAAGGACAGTAGCAGGAACTGCTTCAGTGCTAGATTTTTCCAGCAGCCCCTGTCTTTCTCATTCAGTTTCACTTGATTTCTCAGGGAAAGGGCTCTTGATGACTGCCACCTAAATTCAGGTTAAGCCTTTTCTCATAAGCATTTGCTATTCAAGGTGAAGCAGCATTTTAGGAAGCCTTAGGATCTTGGGTCACAGCCTAAAGGACCTTAAAAACTCAAAAGTCAGGAATTTACCCTGCACTTCCACAGGAATCTTCCTCCCTTCCCTGATAGTGGTGGAGGACAGTTTTGTTTGTTGCTGGATATGGAGGTTTAAATAGAAAAGTTCCAAGCTTAAGACAAAGGAGCTGTGGCACAAATAGCAGGTTTTCTTGTTTCAACTTTTACAGATCCATACGTAGTTGCATTTGATAGTCAATGCTATTTAAGAAACAACTTCCCTGGAACTCATCATTACAGCATGGGTGAGAACAAGAAAGGAAAAAAAGATATTTCACTACCGAACAGAAAAACACATTCCCTTTGTTGTAAAAGAGAAAACACTATTGTTTTAAAATTATAATCTAATTCAGAGTCCTAGACTCTGCCTAAGCTTCTCCATGGGGACAAGGGACCAAACATTCTCAGGGAACAAGTCCTCATCATACAGGTTGGTTCCGGGTCTTGTCCCTGCAGCCAGCAATGCCCATCCCCCAGCACCTCAGCAAGAGCTTCCTCCACCCCAGACAGGAAGGGATCCTTAGTGAAGCAGGCAGGTGAGGGCTTAGTCCATTTGTGAGTTTTTTAGGCAGTTTTTTAGCTCCCAATCCCAGCTGCAAGCACACTGGCAAATCCACTGGGCTGCACTCCCCTATTTGTGAAATGGGACAATGCCTGTTTCCTAAAAGGTTTTCTGAAACAGTATCAGGTCAAGCACCAAGTAAGCATCACACCTGCCAAGTGCACAACAAATGATCAATGTCACTCACCAAAATGACAGCACCTGCATGTTGGCAAGGGTTTTTTGGGGAAAAAGGCCCTTCAGAGGTCAGTTTCTTTGACAAATATTTACCAAAAGTCCCTTAAGCCCTGGGCACAGGCAAATGAGCAAGTGTCAGGCCTGAGTTTCTTCTCATTGATAAGATAGGATTGCTTCCCTTCTACTTAACACAAACTTATGAGGGTGTGCATAGGAAGTTTTCCCCAAAAGTAACAAACTGAACACAAACTAATGTTCTTCATCAAATGACAAACTTTAAAAAATCCCAAATATCCACACAATGTAATCCCGTAAACCCTATATTAAAGAATGACGCATCTCAACATTCAGCGCCATGAGAGGGTCCCAACATTTGAGTTGCAAGAGTGATGACAACCAGCCCACCCAGTGGCCACATTCTCTAAGCATCCCCAGTTACACAACTTGTTTACAAGACATCAACAGCTGTAATGTGGGACTCCTTTCTGGTGCTTTTACTTTCTGTTTTTACATAGTTTAAACTTCCTATATATGTTATCTTTGTAACGAAAACACAATAGTTACCTTCACCTTGGATAAAAATGATGTCTTTTTATCAAGGTATATTAAATCTCTTATCAGCATATGAAAAACAGAATTCCAACACCCAAGTTTGAACCTAAAGAGAAATAAAAGTATCTGCTCTGTAAATTATGCACAAGATAATCATTGCCTAGTTTTATGTTATACAGTCACGGCTACAGATTTCTTAAAAATTATATACAACTACCCATTCAATTTCTCTTATGGACGTCTCAAAATTACTATGCAAAGTAAAATGAGGCCTGGTCAGCGCTTAGACAATGAGCTCAATTACTGTGTGTTTTGACCCCCTTTCCTGAACATATTAAGGTTGGCGGTTAATCATATACCGTTTATAACTGAATTAACATACACCATTTGATACTAGCCAATCCATATCCACGAGACCCTACCATTTAAACAAGAAATGCAAAAAGGAGATTCTTCAACAAAAAACTTCAATGGACTTACAGGTCCACCAGCCACATGAAAAATAGGGTGTTTCTTAGACACAGGTCACAGGGCAACAAGAGCAAGCCTGTAAACACGTTCATTTTTGCTCTTCAAGAGTCAAACGGAAGTTACATGGCATCAACAGGGCAGGCATATAACACAAGGTAAAACATGTCCTGTAAAAACATTAATGAAAAGCAATTCTTTGGCTGCAAAGTACAAACCCCCTGGGAATTAGTACCCGAAGGCCTGGAAAGCCGGTACCACAAATAAAACCTGACAAAGAAAATGTGAGCCAAAGTCCCAATCAAATACCACTGGAAGAAAACTCCACTTCGCCTTCAAGGCCCACCGGAACCAAACTGAGCAAGGCAAGCGTTGGCCAGGCGTACTAATGCAGACGCCGATTCGGGCCCCTTTTCCTCATCAAACCACAACTCCTTTGCTTGAATTTAAACAAATACTAGTAAGAGGCACCTTTTGGTAGAAAAATCAGAAAAAAAATGAAGATAAAAGAGGGCAAAAGAGAGTGATGGCTAACACCTGCGGCTGAAATTCTCTCTAGGTGTGGGTCTTCGCCCCACAACCTTTACTGGAATATCTTCGCTGGGTTTATAATGCGGAAACAATGACCTAGTCACAATGACATTTTGAACTCTTCAGTGCGGCTGAAGAGCTTGAGGCTCTAGGACGGACGTTAGCAGAACGTACTTAAAGAGGGGCTGGGCGCGAGCCTCCCCAGGAGACCCGGCG